CGCTCAGTCGTGTCCAACTCTTAGCGACCCCATGGACTGCAGCCTACGAGGCTCCTCTGTCCATGGGATTTTCCAGGCAAGAGTACTGGAGTGGGGTGCCATTGCCTTTTCCATATATGCGTTAGTATACTGTATTGGTGTTTATCTTTCTGGCTTACTTCACTCTGTATAATGGGCTCCAGTTTACCCAGGACTGATCTCCTTCAGGATGGACTGGTTGGATCTCCTTGCAGTCCAAGGGACTCTCAATAGTCTTCTCCAACACCACAGTTCAAAAGCATAAATTTTTCGGCACTCAGCTTTCTTCACAGTCCAGCTCTCACATCCATACATGACCACTGGTTAAATAATACCTAATTATAGTTTTAATTTGCATTTCTCTAACAGTGTTGTTGAGCATCTTTCCATGTGCTTTTTAACCATCTGCATGTCTTATTTGGAGAAATGTCTGTTTGGATCTTCTTCCCACCTTCTTATTGGATTGTTTGGTTTTTTTGATATTGAGCTCTTTGTACATTTTGGAAATTAATCCCTTATCAGTTGCTTGGTTTGCAAATATTTTCTCCCATCATAAGGGTTGTCTTTTTGTTTTTTTTATGGTTTTCTTTGCTTCACAAAAGCTCTTAATTTTATTTTATTTATTTATTTATTTTTTGTCATTATCCTAACTATAAGGCTCTTAATTTTAATTAGGTCCCATTTGTCTATTTTTGCTTTTATTTTCATTACTTTAGGAGGTAGATCAAAAAAGATTTTACTGCAATTTATGTCATAGAGTGTTCTGTGTATGTTTTCCCCTAAGAATTTTATTGTATCCAGCCTTGTATTTAAGTCTTTAATCCTTTTGAGTTTATTTTTATATGTGATGTTAGGGTGTGTTTTGATTTTATTCTTTTATATGTAGCTGTTCAGTTTTCCCAGCACCAACTACTGAACAGACTGTCTTTTCTTCATTTTATATGCTTGCCTCTTTCTCATAGATTAGGTGACCATTAGGTATACGAGTTTATTTCGTGGTTTTCTATCCTGTTCCATTGATCTATATTTCTGTTTTTGTGCTTACAGTACCAAATTGCTTTGATGACTAGTTTTGTAGTATAGCTTGAAGTCAGGGAAACTGGTTCCTCTAGTTCTGTTTTTCTTTTTCAAGACTGCTTTGGCTATTCATGGTCTTTTGCATGTGTCCATACAAATTTTAAATTTTTTGTTCAAATTCTGTGAAAAATGCCATTAGTAATTTGATAGAGATTGCATTGAGTCTATAGATTGTTTGGGGTAATACAGTCATTTTCACAATATTGATTCTTTCAATCCAAGAACATGGTATGTCTCTCCACGTATGTTTGTTTCATCTTTTTATTTCTTTCATCAGTATCTTATAGTTTTCAGAGAATACGTCTTTTGCCTCCTTAGGTAGCTTTATTCCTAAATATTTTATTCTTTTTTGAAGTGATGGTAGATGGGATTATTTCCATGATTTATCTTTCTAATGTTTCATTGTTAGGTATAGGAATGCAAGAAATTTCTGTGTATTAATTTCACATCCTACAGTTACTATTTTAAGTGACTTAGCTCAATGCTTCTACATTATAATTTGAAACTTTTGGGGGGAAATGAATGTGCATAAAAATTGGAAGAACAGTATAATGAAGATCCATATTCCTCCCTACCTAGATTCACCAACTGTTGACATCCTGCTACACCTGTTTCATCTCTCTCCATATGTGTACTCACGCTTCCCTTTTGCCAAAACATCTGAAACTAGGTTTCAGGCATTCTACATTACCCTTGAAAATGTCAGTCTGAATTTCCTAAGAACTGAAATATTCTCCTACAAGAACACAACGCCCTAACTACACCTAAGAATATCATCATGAACTCAATCACATCACCCAACATTTAGTTAACACTCAAATTTTCCCAAGTGTTCACCAAATGTCCTTAATAACTGTTCCCTCCAACTATCACTTTTAAGAGTTCTTCTGTACCTTGTAATGTACTTCTACTCTGCCTGGAAAATAAATGTAACTTCTTTTCGCCTTTTCCCTCTCCTTAAAGATTAGTTACTCATTGTTCTACTTGGACTTACTGGATCTGCAATGAATGTTTATGATTGGATCTGTGAAGAACAAAATTTGGAAAGCATTTCAGGATTGGCAACCACATCACAAAAGTAGCCTCTAGGTGTCCTCCTTGGATAGAAGAAATCTGTAGCTATTTGTTACTGAGGACTTTTCCAGAGCACTCATTTGAAGACATACATTTTTCTTTGGTCAGCATAGATCAAAGAGTGTAATAATGTCTCAGAATTCTAAACAGAACATAAATAAAGCTCAGTTTATATGGTTCTCAAACATCTGGCACACATGAACTAGGTTGCATACTAGGAGATGTGAGGATGTAAGTCACAGGGCAAAAATAAGTCAGTGAAAATATCCAGACTTGTTTCCCCCGCTTCCATCCCTTAAAAAAAAAAAAGTGTATTTATTTATTCATATTTGGTTGTGCTGGTCCATCCCTATTTAAAAGGGTATTTTTATTGCTCAATATTGTGCCTTTTATTATAATTCCTCACTTAAATGGGCAGATGAGGAAATGGAGGCATAGGGAAATGAAATTATTTGCCTAAAGGTCACATACCTAGTAAGTAGCAGAGTTAACGTTCAACTCAGGTAGTTTGGCTTCACAGTCCATGAACTTCTGCTTTTCACAATGCTATCAAGCCATTACAAAATAATGAGTTTGTCTTCAATTGTTATCATTTTTTCTTCACAGATACTTACTACAGCAAGGTCATAATATAAGATTAAAATAGTGCAAGAGATCACTTAATCTTCATGTTGTAGATCAATCCAAACCATTTGAGTGCATTTTCAAATCTCCTTTCCTAAGCCCGCTAAAAATTTATGTCACTGTATATGAGTTTGAACATTAAGGTTCTTATTTAAAATGGAATTGGTCCCCAGTCTGAAGTTGGTCCTGGAACCAACCCTAGGTTTTTAATGAATTTGAAGTAAACAGAATCTAAGGGCCAATCAACGCTTCTGTACCACCTCACTGATGGGGAGGACTCCAAGCAAATGGGAAAGGAGAGGCTTGGAATGAGGCAGAGTTGATTGAACTGCCATTTATGCATCTGAATTCATTCCCTTATTGATAAAAATATTTTAAAGTCTCAAAGTAAAAAATTTGCTGTACTTCAGTCAAAGCAAAATACTTTGTTTAGATCTCCATTTCTTTTTTAGAAGAAAAGAGGCTAGGTAGACTGAAGGACTGAATCAACTCCAATTCTTCTCCCCACCCCTTTCCCACACATAACTCGCATAGACTATAGTCCTTTCAACTTGTTTCTGGAATGTCCTGCACATGGCACAGATAGAACTATCTTTTCTTGGAGAAAGGATATTAGTATACATTGTTTACGAGGAAGTATACAGTCTTTCTGGGCTTCCCAGGTGGCGCTAGTGATCAAGAATCCGCCTGCCAATGCTGGAGATATGAGTTGTGGGTTTAGTCCCTAGATCAGAAAGATCCCCTGCAGGAGAGCGTGACAACCCACTCCAGTATTCTTGTCTGGAGAATCCCATGGAGAGAGGAACCTGGCAGGCTGCAGTCCATAGGGTCTCACAGAGTTGGACACAACTAAAGTGACTTAGCACGCACACATGCATACAGTCTTAACAAACATTTTCATTCCATACTCAACACTACCAATGCTTTCATTCATTCATTCAGCAATATTTATTGTTTGATTACTATGTGCCAGGCACTGTTCAAAGCAGCTGGGATGTATCAGTAAACAAAAACAAGGATCCCTGCCTTCATAGACTATATATTGTTTCCTGAGCTCCAGTTACGTTTCTGAGTCCCTATCATTCAAGCCATTTTTGTCTGGCTGTTTATTTGAGGAATATATGGGCAAATGTGTCTTTCTTTAAAGCATGTATCTCTAGGACTTCTCTGGTGGTCCAGAATCCACCTTTCAATGCAGGGGGCTTGGGTTCGATCCCTGGTCAGAGAACTCTGCATGTGTGCTCAGTCGAGCCGACTCTCTGCAACTCCATGGACTGTAGCCCGCCAGGCTTCTCTGTCCATGGAACTTTCCAGGCAGGCATACTGGAATGGATTGCCATTTCCTTCTCAAGGGGATCTTTCTGACTGGCCCAGGGATTGAATCCACATCTCCTGCGTCTCCTACATTGGCAGGTGGATTCTTCACCACTGTGCCACCTGGGAACTAAGATCCCACACATCGCCAGGGTACTAAGCTCTTGTGCCACAACTAAGGCCTGACACAGCCAAATAAATAAATATTTTTAATAAAATGTGTCTCTAATAAAGGGATATTAAATTATACTTGGTTTTATTTTTATCTATGACTTTAGTAACCATTTCCAGCCTAGTTCTCAGGTGTTGATTCTGAGCTGGGAGCAATTTTGACCTCTAGGTAGGGTTGCCAGGTTTAGCAATTAAAAATACAGGATGTCCAGTTAAATTTGGATTTCAGATAAACAGTGAATTTTTTTTTAGCGTAAGTATATCCCACATAAATGTACATGACCCAGGATGTGGTGCTATGAGAATCTGGTGGGAGAGGCCAGGGATGCTGCTAAAGATTCTGTAAACACAGGATAGCCTCCTCCCACAACAAAAAAGTATCAGGCCTGAAATGTCAGTATTGCTGAGGTTGAGAAATCCTTCTCTAAAATGATGATTTCCAAAAGAAAAGAGACAGATCAAAATTACCTAAGAGGTTTAACATAAACTATTAAAATATAAAATATTTAATATTTTATAATATAAAATCAATTATTTGGCACTCAGCCTTCTTCATGAACCAACTCTCACTTCTATACATGACTACTAGAAAAACCATAGCTTTGACTATGTAGAGTTAGACCAATGATCAATAATATTCCTGTGAAACAATAGGAACAGTAAACGGATCCACTTTAAGGATTGCCCACTCAGATGTTTTATTAGTTAATACCAGCTTTTTTCTTATATTAGTTAACACTAGCTGTTTGTTTTTTTCTGTGCTTAGCACAATTCCTAGAACATAATAAGAGCACCATCAACCTTTGTCCAGTGACTGAATCAAGGTGTTGGCCTGATACAGTGGTATCCTTAGAGTCAGAGAAATCAGGATGTACCTTATGCCTGTCAGTGGCCCTCAGGGAAGTTTTGACAGCAGAAGTCACATCTTCATGGCTTCTAAAGCCCTCTGAAGGAGGGACAGCTCCTATGGTAGCCAAGGAGAAAGTGGGTGAACCACAGACTCTAGACAGTAAATATTCTTAGTTTTGTCCACTTAATACTAGCTGTTTCTTTAGTCAATAGTTCTCAAATGTAAATGTGCATCAGGGTACTGGAAGGTCTTGCTGGCCCACCTCCAAACTTCTGATTTGGGGTGGAGGCTGAAACTTTAGAGTTCTAATTTTTTTCTGCACTACTTGTGGGATTTTTAGTTCCCCAACCAGGGATTGAACCTGTGCCCTTGGCAGTGAGAGCCCAGAGTCCTAACCCCTGGACCACCAGGGAATTCCCTTGGATTTCTAACAAGTTGCCAGGTGATACTGATGCTGCTGGTCTGGAACCATACTTTGGGAGCCATTTAGCCTTAGTCTTAGGTGAATCCTCAGAATCTCTGTGGTTTAGCGTAATCTTTCAGTTATCACATCAATCTCAAAATACAGGATCTCTGGGTGACCCAGTATTTTCCCCTGGGTCTGGATATAGGTTCTCGTGATCTGAGGATTTTTGAATTAGAAAAACAAGTTTTCTGTAAATTGCTCTTTTCCCTCCCCTACATTCAGTGTTGGAGCAGGGACATTACTACCCTCAGTAAAACAAACAAACCCCCATTCAGGAAAAGGAAAAACAGGAGATACAGTTGCTGATTTTTTTTGCAATTGTGAAAAACAGCTGGACAGGCATTGTGCAGATACCTACCTTGGGGTGGAAAAATTTTCCTTGATTAGACTATGGTCCTGCTCTTTGTGTGGGACTCCTGTTACCATTTTTCTCTATAATTACTGGTTCCATCTTCTGCGAAGCTATCCCTTTTCCATTATCCTTCACGGTCACATCTGAAGGTGATGTTGAAGAATGTGTCATCTTTAGGCTCTTTCACCATGTGCTCCCTGCCCATGCAAATGAGGAGGCTTGAGGGTTGTTTTAAAATTTCCTGATAGAGACACAGACAGAGAGAAAAACATGGACACCAAATGGGGAAAGGGGGATAGTGGGATGAACTGGAAGATTGGGATTGACATATATACACTATTAATGCTATATATAAAGTAGATAACTAATGAGAACCTTAGCTCACGAAACTCTACTCAGGTCTCTGTGGTGACCTAAATGAGAAGAAAATCTAAAAAAGAGGGGATACATGTAAACGTATAGCTGATTCATCTTGCCGTACAGTAGAAACTAACATAACATTATAAAGCAAGTATTCTTGTCTGCTCAGTCGCTCAGTCGTGTCCAACTTTTTGCAACCCTTTGGGCTGTAGCCTGCCAGCCTCCTTTGTCCATGAGATTTTTCAGGCAAGAATAGTGAGTTGGCAGATCTCCTCCAGGGGATCTTCCCAACCTAGGGATCAAATCCGCATCTCCTGAGTCTCCTACAATGCAGGAAGTTTCTTTACCGCTGAGCCATTGGGGAAGAAAAGCAGTTATACTCCAACAGAAATTAATTTAAAAAATAAAATTTCCTGGATAGGCAAATGCTTTATAGACTAGACTTGTGGGTTCTTTATCAATATAATCCCCTCAAAAACTTGGATGTTCTGATCTATTTGCTTTCAGAAAGACTCAGGTGCCAGTAACTACTTCCAAAGTTTTTTTTACCTGACCTAGGGTTGCAGATGACACCACTCTTGTGGCAGAAAGTGAAGATGAACTAAAAAGCCTCTTGATGAAAGTGAAAGAGGAGAGTGAAAAAAATGGCTTAAAGCTTAACATTCAGAAAACTAAGATCATGGCATCTGGTCTCATCACTTCATGGGAAATAGATGGGGAGACAGTGGAAACAGTGTCAGACTTTATTTTTGGGGGCTCCAAAATCACTGCAGATGGTGATTGCAGCCATGAAATTAAAAGACACTTACTCCTTGGAAGGAAAGTTATGACCAACCTAGACAGCATATTAAAAAGCAGAGACATTACTTTGCCAATAAAGGTTCGTCTGGCAAAGGCTATGGTTTTTCCAGTGGTCATGTATGGATGTGAGAGTTGGACTGTGAAGAAAGCTGAGTGCCGAAAAATTGATGCTTTTGAACTGTGGTGTTGGAGAAGACTATTGAGAGTCCCTTGGACTGCAAGGAGATCCAACTAGTCCATCCTAAACGAGATCAGTCCTAGGTGTTCATTGGAAGGACTGATGCTGAAGCTGAAATTCCAGTACTTTGGCCACCTCATGTGAAGAGTTGACTCACTGGAAAAGACCCTGATGCTGGAAGGGATTGAGGGCAGGAGGAGAAGGGGACGACAGAGGATGAGATGGTTGGATGGCATCACTGACTCAATGGACATGGAGTTGGTGATGGACAGGGAGGCCTGGCGTGCTGCGATTCATGGGGTCGCAGAGTCATACACGACTGAGTGACTGAACTGAACTGAACTGAGGGTTGCCAGATAAAATAGTGGGTTTCCCGTGTTTTTATTTGCTTAATTTGGCAACCATATCTAGATGCAGTTTTCAGGGTCATCTTCTTTGCTTTTTTACTTCATGATTTGCTCTTTCACCTTAAAGGTTGGCAGAGAAGACGACATCCTTAGTTACCTAGTTGCCACACAGCTGTCACATTATTTACCCAACAGTCTCACTGAGCCTTTTTCGCTCAAGGCTTTTTCTATCTTATCCTTTTATTTGGAATCTAGAAGCAGTAGGATTTCCCAGCCCGATAAAGTTCATGATATCTGGGTTTTCCTCATCCTCTTTGACCTCTGCCCTAATTGAGATCAGTTCAGTTCTAACCTACGCCCATCTCTCTCAAGAATAACAACTTGCTGAGAGCAGAAAGTTAAAACTCAAATACACTAGCATTCAAACTCTTTCCAACCACTCTCCCTAGAGCAGGGATTCTTGACCCAGGGATTCGTAACTTGGATGGTGTATTGTCAAGTTCTCTGGAAGCAAACCCTGAAATGAGGATTCATGTGCAAGTGATTTACTAATGAGTAACCAGGAATGAGGGAAAAGCAGAATAACAATAGAATGAAATTTTAGGCAAAGTTCCAGCCTCAGCTTGATCCCACTGGAGCCTATGTTACATTCTCAAAGTAAAGAAACTGGGCTGTCATATATCCTCACCTGTCAATGACTATGATTCACCCTTTGGGAACTGAAACACACAAGCATTCCCAAATTTCTACATCTGTAGACAAAGGGCTGTAGTAGCCCAAGGATAGTGCTCTGAAATAAATCTCAGGTGAAAACTGGTAAAGCAAAGGTAATAGAAACTGCAGTTAGCAGATGGAACCCCTAAAAAGGATCTGGGGAGATTGGGCAGGGCACCAACAGTGTCCACCAACATGGGAAACAAATTATATCTTTTTTTAAAGTTTTTATTTTATATTAGAGTATAGCTGATCAACAGTGTTGGGATAGTTTCAAGTAGGACAACAAAGGAACTCAGTCATACATAAACAGGTGTCCATTCTCCCCCAAATCCCCTCAAATCCAGGATGCCACATAACATTTGACCAGAGTTCCCTGTGCTATACAGTAGGTCCTTGCTCGTTATCCATTTAAAATATAACAGTGTGTACATGTTGATCCCAAACTCCCTAACTATCCCTTTTCCCCATCCTTCCCCCATCCCCATAAGTTCATTCTCTAAGTCTGTGAGTCTGTTTCTGTTTTGTAAATAAGTCCATTTGTATCTTTTTTTTTTTAGATTCCATGTATAAGGGATGTTATACAATATTTCTCCTTCTCTGACTTATTTCACTTGGTATGACAATCTCTAGGCCCATCCATTTTGCTGCAAATAGTGTTATTTCATTCTTTTTAATGGATGACTAATATTCTGTTGTATATACGTACACATCTCCTTTATCAATTCCTCTGCCAGTATACATTTAAGTTGCTTCCATGTCTTGGCTATTGTAAACAGTGCTGCAATGAACATTGGGGTGCATGTATGCTTTTGGACCACATTTTTCTCCTGATATATGCCCAGGAGTTGGATTGTATGGTCATACGGTAGCTCTATTTTTAGTTTTTGAAGGAACCTCCATATTGTTCTCCATAGTGGTTGCATCACTAACCCCCAACTGAAAGTTAGCATTTCCTTTATTCATTATGAATGTAGGCAACAAATTACAGGAGTATTAGTAGCACCTGTGACTTACGTTCCATGTATTTTCATATAACTCTTGGTTCATATAATACGGGCTGTTTCAAAATTGGGAAAGGAGTATGTCAAGGCTGTATATTGTCACACTGTTTATTTAACTTATATGCAGAGTGCATCATGTGGACTGACAGACTGGATGAATCACACCTGGAATTAAGATTGCCAGGATAAATATCAGAAACCTCAGATCTGCAGATGATAATACTGTAATGCAGAAAGTGAAGAGGAACTAGAGTCTCTTGATGCGGGTGAAAGAGGAGAGTGAAAAAGCTGGCCAAGAAGACTGAGTGCCGAAGAATTCATCCTTTCGAACCGTGGTGCTAGAGAAGACTTTGAGAGTCCCTTGGACAGCAAGAAGATCAAATCTGTCAATCTTAAAAGGAAATCGACCCTGATTATGAATTGGAAGGACTGATGCTGAAGCTAAAGCTCCAATACTTTGGCCACCTGATGCAAATAGCCAACTTATTGGAAAAGATCCTGATACTGGGAAAGATTGAGGGCAGGAGAAGAAGAGGACAGAGGATGAGATAGTTGGATGGCATCTCTGACTCAATAGATAGGAGTTTGAGCAAACTCCATGAGATAGTGAAGGACAAAAAGTGGGATACAGCTTAGCGACTGAACAACAACATTTTCATATAATATTATAGTTGTTGCATACATGTTGTAACATATCTCAAGATATTGTTTACAGTCATCACTACTTTGAAATTACGGTAGTCCCAAGAAATGTTGGCAGGATGGAGACCCAGGAGAGCTAATGGTATAGCTCTATTTTGCATTTGGAGGCTTGAGATCCAGGAGAGCCAAGGATGTAAGTTCCAGTCTGAGTCTGAATCCCAAGACAAAAGGCCAATGTCCCAGTGTGAAGACAGTCAGGCAGAGAGTAAATGAATTCTCTCTTACTCAGCATTTTTGTTCTAATCAGGCCTCCATTGGATTGGATGGCGCTCGCCTACATTGGGAGGTCCATCTGCTTTGCTTGTCTACTGATTCAAATACTAATCTCATCCAGAAACACCCTCACAGACACACCCAGAATGTTTGATCAAATATCTGGGCACCTAGATACTTCAGTCGATAGAGCATCAGACTTTTAATCTGAGGGTCCTGGGTTCAAGTCCTGTTCAGGCGCCTGCTGATGGGCTTCCCTGGTGGCTCAGATGGTAAAGCGACTGCCTGCAATCCGGGAGACCCAGATTCGATCCCTGGGTTGGGAAGACCCTCTGGAGAAGGAAATGGCAACCCACTCCAGTACTCTTGCCTGGAAAATTCCATGGATGAAGGAGACTGGTAGATGACAGTCCACGGGGTCGCAAAGAGTCAGACATGACTGACCAACTTTACTTTCTCACTTTCTCTTTCTAGATACTTAATGGATTAAGAAAGATGTGAATATGTTACTGTGTCATATCTTTGTTTTTTGAAAGTATTTTGATAAGCATTTATCAATACACTTGGTATTATTGTACACATTTTATTTTATACATTTAAAAATATTACTCTGGGGCTTCCCTGGGGGCTCAGTGGTAAAGTATTCACCTGCCAATGCAGGAGACATGGGTTCAATCCCTGGTCTGGGAAGATCCCACATGTCATGGAGCAACTAAGCCCATGAGCCACAATTATTGAGCCTGTGCTCTAGAGCCCAGGAGCTGCAACTACTGAAGCCCACCAGTCTTAGAGCTCATGCTCTGCAGCAAGAAAAACCACTGTAATGAGAAGCCCATGCACTGCAACTAGAGAGCAGCCCCCAGTCACCACAATTAGAGAAAAACCCGCACATCAATGAAGATCCAGCACAGCCAAAAAACTA